GTGGAAGAGGAAGAAGTAGTAGTGGAGGAAAGAGAGGGTAGAGGGGTAACCCTCTTATAACCCTTGATATTCATATTTTCTTATTATATGCAACGCGTATAATAAGCGGGCATTGGTCCCCAGCATTTGTTTTCACTTCCCCAAATCGAACATATCTATTTTTGTAAAATAAAAAGTTATCTGCTAGTGCCTATAGGGTCTAGCCGTCCTATATAGTCTTAGACTGAAGATGGACGTAAATTAAATCAATCAATCAATCAATCAATCGAACTCCCCTCCTCCTCACCCCTCCTCTCCCAAACTTCAAAAATCCTTATACTTGCCTATCAATTTGTCCGTTTCTCTTGAATCTACCTCATTCTTTAAAAGCCTTAGTTAAATACTGCCCTTGAAAAATAACAGATAATTAATAATTTTAATAAAACCTCGTAAAATATATTATTAATAAAGAATAAAAGATTTAATCAACTTTCGACTCTTCTTTTTTCTCCTTTCCCTCCATGAATCTTTCTCGACCTACACTTAATTTCAACATTTTCTTTCCTTTTAAATTACCGTATTGTCTTAATTGACGCCATTCTTCCTTTCATTTAATCGAAGAAAGAAGAGGAGGGGAGGTTCTGTGCGCTGATTGGATATGAGAGTAAAAATTAATATCTTGACGAAAATGCTTCAATAGTATGAAAATACGAATAACTCTCAATCTGTCAACAGAATTCAGTTTATTAATAGCATTGAACATGTCAAGAGAGTTAAATCTTTCAAGGAGTTGAGTATCTCCAAGGATTAAATAGTCTTCAAAGACTTGATTATCTCCCCAAACATGCATATTTCCAGCAATCTGAATATATTCAGCTCTCATGTTTCAAGAGGTGAATGTCTCAAGAGAGTTAAATTTATTTTTTTCTCCAAAATAATTGAGTGTCCATTCTATGACTAAACATTGTTCAGCCACCATCGACCGTGACTTTTACCCCCTCGCTTAAAATCGAGAGGGACTTCAGATTTTTCAAAGACACCTCTGAGCCACCTACATCATTGCTAGATATGTTTTATCACTAATTGAGGCTATCAAGGTCCTCGATCACCAAGTCTCATTAATTAACTCAAGCATCGATGATAAAGATCCCCTAGGCACCAATCACACTTCACACATCCCCATCCCCACCAATGACATTACCACATCCAAAAGCATACTAGCCCCAATTCTACCACTTCTTAATATATGAACCTCTCTCTCTACTCCACCTGGTCTAAGAATTCTTCCTCCATTACTACAAATTTCTCAACCATCAACCTCGAGTTGATGACCTATTGTACCAACAAAAATTCCATCTACATCATCTCCTTTCGGTTCTGCGAGGTTTAATTAAAGCTTTTGTATCAACGATCTCCTCTTATTTCGATCTTTGTTGGCAATTCGTATCAAGGCAACTCACCATCACTATTATAATGGCGACTTCTCCTTCTGATACCACCCCTCCCTCCAACAACACCCCTTCTACCAACGATATCGACCTCCTCAACCCCTCCGATCTCACCACCACTACCACCAACCGCACTAATGACAGTATAATGTACTTCAAATCCGAATACGAGTACCTTCTCACCAAGCTCCCTCCCAATTACCCCAAGCCAGCTCCTCCTATTGGTACGTACCTGGTACCGATCTATGCGTATCATTCCCCACCTCTCCCGTTCTCCACCATTTCTTCCCCTTTAAACTCAATCCCACTAACACATCCCCTCTCACAGGTTCCCTCCGCATCCTCTCTTGCTGCAATTGCAATTTCAGCACCAAGTTCCCCGGCGAACCTCACTTCAACATGGTCGTCCCGCTTTTCTGCCACCCCCGTCCATACCACCCAGAAAAGCGATGTCGTCATAAGTACTGCGAGAACTGTGTCTGGAGTGTCATTAAAGAAGGAGAGGATGTCAACGTAGGTTGGGAGATGCCTATCTAGAATATTGAGAAGAGCAGTGGAGAGGCAAAGAAGAGTTTTGAGGAGATGGCTGCGGAGGTTGATGAGGATGGAAAACCTCGTTATCCTTTGATGCAAGATCGTAAGTATGGTACTTTGGGTACGCAGACGGATGGTGATTTTGGTATTTGGTGGGAATGGGGTGGGGGAATTCCGGGGTTTGGAAGTAATGCTCCTGATGATGAGGAGTAGGATACTGCATTGTTTGGTGGTCTTCTAGGTATTGAGGATACACCATCTAGAGAGGCATTAAATGATACTTCATATTCTCTGGCATTCATTCAGAAATTCATGATACAACATTCAGGAATCATCACATCAGGCTTTAGTCTCTCCAGCTTTCAATCAGACATTTCTGATTTAATGCCCGCAGACCATCAAACTTCTCTTCCTCCAATTTAACTCTGACATTGGGATTGTACTACTGGATCAGTAGTAGCGATACAAAAAGATTGTCCATACTATACAATGAAATAAAATGAACACCGTGACCATCTACCGAGAATAGACTTCCTCGATATATTAGTCTATTTGAAACTTTAATTATATCCTGTCCGCATTTATTGAAAATCACTCATTCAATATATAGAATGACCCGGCAGTCTCTGTACTAGAATCTTCAGTTTTCCTCTCTTAGTTGTTGAACAATAATATCAAGTTAAATCAGTATCTTGGCCAGTTTAATATACAAATTACAGTACCGTGACATCTTATCGCATCTAATTAGCACACAATTTCCCAACATACGAAAGGACTACAGTACTCCATATATTTCCCATTCCCCAATAATCAATCGATACTTTCCCTGCCAGTGCAATACAAAAGGTAAATTGATATAATAGAATAATGTCACTAGCATCCGATTAATAAAACTGCTAATCTGTTACTCACGACCATAACACTGGTAAGAAACTATCTAAAACTCCATCGCAATTGCATACAATATACACTCAAACATATACTAGTATTCGTCATGATATAACCCACATTCAGATTTTAAAGATACACAACTCATCACCCTGACTATATTATATTTCAAATAAAAACCGTGACCAAAACTAAATTAATCGGAAAAACTATCATTTCATCCCCCCACCCCAAAAGCTGAGGACATCAATACAATACAACACTACCGTCTAAACCCGAGTAAATGTACAGATACAGCTGCGTATGGCCCAAGTATCAACCAAACAAAATTAAATATAGCCTAGTTTTTGTTATTCAAACAAAAATAAGGAATCATTAGATGATCTATTTTTATTAATTTTTTCAATTATATTATTTAATTCATTTATTTGATTGTTTGGTCTGATCAATAGCTAAGCCAAATGCGGCTGGACCCGTTCTCGATTACTCGAGTTCAGATGGTATTAATATCACCATCCTATCTATAAAACCAGTCTCAGTAATCAAAAGACCATTAGTCCATTGGCTCATTGCACACCGATAAACTCAACTAGCACTTAAAACTCACCTACAATCCCCATCCCTATCTCTTCTCTCAGCTAGGCCTAAGATACTAATCTAATCGGAATTAATAATCTTACCATCAATCATATCATGAACTCAAGACTTATAAGCTAGTTACTAGTCTATTTCTAAAACCAAATATAGGAATTAAATATCCTTCATTATCCAATCTAGATACGCGAGTACTTTCGTCGCTATTCCTAGTTACGCTAGATAACTCAAACTTAAATTTATACTGGCAGCTCAAATTAAAAACAAATCACTAGTACTAGTATTAATAAATCATCTAAGTTTCTGTTCCAACTCCAATACTAATACCACTACAATAACCCCTTACCTACGGTATATAAAAAGATAAAAACATAAAAGTTCTACCACCGTAATAATGAACGCAGACTAACCCTAACCCTAATCTTATTACAGAATACATTACCAATTAAAAACAGAAACAAAAACAAAACCAAAATTATATACTAGTACTATACATCCAAATCTAAACCATCACTACTATCAAAGCCAATATTCAATACCCCCCCTTACATATCTAAACTTCTAAACTTCTACACTCCCAAATCATAAGCAATAAACAATAATCAGATATATAACAATTTTATAACAATATATAACAATATCCAAAAAGACCACAAAGTTCCTAGTAGACTTCTAATCTGTTCAATTCCATCTCCCATTTTTTATTTACATACCAGTGGTGATTCCAAATATCATTATGTCATCATCTATCTATCTTCTTTTTTTGCTGTGAGATTTGGTATGATGTGTGTTTTGTGATTATAACTATGATTATAATTATGATTCAAGAAATCAAATCTAACTTCGACATCAGTCTCGATACCCACAGACACACACACACACACACACACACACAAACACACTTACACCGCTAATTCTGATGAGTTCATAATGATAATGATTCTTTTATGATCTTTAGCTCGAATGGGTCGATGGAAACTGATGATTTCGAAGAGCTTATGAATGAGCGTGAGAGCGATACTAACAGCTGGTAGCTAGAAGTTATAAACCACCTCGCACTCATCAATTACACCACCATACCCATACACTACCCATACTCACAGCATACCTGAGACACCAGACCAGACCATGTATCAGACTCTCCTCAATCTCTTCGAGTTCAGTCTACTCGAGTAATATTATTTATCATTTCTGGTTTCTAAGATCGTAAGATCGTAAAATTTCATACTAAAATATTAAAATAGAAAACTCTAGGAGTCTAGGTATTTGACTGAGTCACTAAGAAGGGGAGGGATGGGGAAATTTTGTTACTTGTAATTCAGTAGCGCCGCGACAATTGTGATGATGCTCTTAGGGAATATTATTGTGCTTTTATGAATTCTAGAATCTAGAAAACTTGGCATTGTAAGAAATCACCTATGAGAATTATTTGCCCTGATACTGGTTAGATGATGTATCTAAAAAAGGCCATTTGCCCAGATTTTTCGCTAGGGTATTTCCTGGTTGGAGGGTGGTAATAATATGGGAGATTTTTTCGATAGTTTAATAGTGGCCATTAGTAGTTTCTGTATAGCTAGTCATACGTCTCTAAGCTTATCAGATTGTTTGAGTTTTTTTTGCACAGCTCTTTCTATACATCTTTCGCTAGTATCGCTTCTGGCTGGGATATGTTAATTGATGCAATCAAACGAGAGCTTTGGGCTTTGGGTCTAAACCAAATGACAAAGCAGGACTTGACAAGCTAAAAAATAACAGACAAGCGTATGTAATATGGGAGACGAAATAGACAAGATGACATCGGTATTTGGATCGCTACTATAAGTACTAGTAAACTGTCCCTTAGAATTTGAAGATTGAACAATTTGATGCGGACTAGACTTATCTCTAACATTTACTGGATGATAATTTAGAGATGCAAATTAATGAGATAAACTCACACATGAAACATGAAGTATAAACAGACAGCGTTAATAATCATACAATAAGCCTAGCTTATGCTGTCAGCACGGGACATGAAATCTACTCCCCACCTCAAGTTCGGCATTGGACATACCATCCTCCAACTGTGGCCAAATAGGTTACATGTACATCTTCCCCGACCCAAATCAATTATCCCAGGAAGATCAAATCATCAATCAACCGCCCGATTTGACGATGCCAAGACTTTACATTGGTCACTTGATATATATGAAGTTTCCCGAGTACCAAATCGGTACATGTGGATCGAGTAGAACAATGCCTCCACTATCAAAGTGAGTTGCAGTGCAGAGGAAGAGGAGATTACTTAATGTTCCTGCCCCTTTAACTAACACGCAGATGCGTTATACTGTAAGTAGGTTAATCCATTACCGTGCACGAGCAGAGAATAAGCATGATATATTCCTCTGAAAACAGTAAAGAAGGAGAATAGAATAGGAACACATAGATAAGCAACAACATGCAAGCAAAAAGTAAAGTTCCTCTCACTCGAGTGGCTACACAAACACGTGATCCGATTATAATCCTGGGACGAACTTGGCTGAACTCAAATTGAGCTCGGTCAAACTTCAAGAAGATTTGGAGATGTTATGGCGGGAAGATATAGGTTTTGAAGAATGTAGCGAATCATCAAATGTGATGGACGTGAAAAGCAAAGGTTAGAGTATGCAGAAATTTACCAATAGAGGAAGATCTTCGTAATTTAGCTTCAAAAACTCTGTTTTGATCTCCACTTCCGATTAATTATCACTGCTTTATCAACCATAAATAACATGGGCGTCGGAGTAAGTGGATAACATACTATAAATCTGCATAGAAATCTTGAGTTATTCCTTTCCTTGTCGTTCGTCGTTTGTCGATTCGAGAATATTGACGCCGAACTTCACCACCATGGTAAAGGAAGAAAAGAACCAATCTCCATACTTTCATCCCCGAACATTCCGGCACATTCTTATCATTTAATATATATTCCCCAAGATGTTTTAAAACATGCCACATCGAGAACTTATTATATTCTTATTCTTCATATTCATATTCATATGCATATATGTTCCTCATATTCATCCATTAACCAAACGGAATGTTGCCCACACAACTCCCTCGGGATTCATTTGAAGAATAAGCCTTGTAAGTGCCGAAGCGATGGGTCTTGACAAACCCCTCTATGGAGGAGGTCATACAAGTCAGTCCCCGGGTAGCATGTGTGATGAGATGCACTTGAAGAACATATCGACGGAAGCTTACTCGCGGGTTCGGGCATTTTTGAATGAAAGAGTCAGTCAGCTGTGTGTGTTGTTGTTATTATTAGGTACTTTTCATGATCGACAATTTAGATAATAGGGTAAAAGAGGCTCGAATAAGGCAGATAGATGTTGAAGAATTTTGGATGGGGGCGGGATTTCCCTTTTCCTCGGTCTTACTAATCTTACTAATCGTACACCTTATCTTTCTAATTCCCTTCGAAAGTTCGCACCCCCTTCATTTACTAGTAGGTACGTACCTAGGAACCTAGGAAGGATACTAGTAAACTCAATTTATATAACTATCCTAGACTTTTATATATTCATCCATATTAGATATCTTGATATCTTGATACAGGTATCTTTAATCAATACCGGTACATTTCTTCATGTGTTGTCGTGAATGTGAAATAGCTATCTACCTAGTAGGTCCCTAGTTATTAAGGGACCATAGGCGGGAAGGGGGATAAATCGGGGCCGTACCTGAGTTAACAATAGGTTATTGGTTAGGTAGTTAACCTTATGATATCGATGCTTAATTCATACAGTGTTGCAGTTGCAGTCAGTTACAGTTACACTTGGGTTCTGCGTTGATGGGTTACATTCATTATTGCATTGCCTACCTGGGTATGAATATCTACCTATAGGGATTGAATAGGTAAGTACAGGATGGAGTTCTTCAACATTGTTGGTCTCGTTACCCAACCACAAGGCTTAATTAAGCATTGAATCTTTTTATGATTTGATTTGATATAAATGGCTTAAAATAAAGCACAGACCATCTAGTAATTCTATAATTCTTCTCTAATAGTGAAATTTGATTGGTGAAAAAGAAAAGAAAAATTGATTCATTTGATATTAATTTCGGAGATTTAGTCATCATATTTCCATATTCAATCCATAGAAACCCAGTTACTTATGAGTCTTGGTGTACCCAGTGAAATTTGAGTTTGTTTTGAATGGCTTCAGTGGATTGAACAGCCGCGAATGAGACTCACTCACAAGTCTCACAGTCACACATTACCTTTTCGGCAGCAGCAAGTTTTGTATGTGAAAGGATTGAAATCTCGCCCTGTCTAAGCAAAAAAAGTCTGAGCACAAAAGTACAAGGGAAGGAAAACAACCACCACCACTTATTACTTACTTATTAAACTTATTATACTTCTACAAACCCCGTCCATCATTCAAGTTGATCACTCCTTCAACCTCTTGAATGATTCCAATACACAAACACCAACCTTTGGATCAACGTATGCATGATCTAAGGTTAATCTTTCACCTGCATTAGTCTTTTGGAGGGTGGAAGGAAGTATTAAACGCATTTATTGCATTTTAGGAAGGTTTCCGAAGCTCCCATTCAAGCTGGCTCGGAATATCGCTCTGGGTCAGCAATCCACCAGGTAGTCGCATGCCTCGTCCTCCACCCAACCCGAAGCGACAGCAAGGCGCTGCAAATGTACGCGACACTAGGCATGATAATGGACTTGTAGGTCCAGGCAAGAGGGTACCTCGACAGAAAAGTAATGGACATATGAACGGACATGCGAACTCCTCCGAATCGATTCCATCAACATCAACACCACCGCCTTTGACCCCACCACCTACAAATGGTCTTGCGAAATTACCTGGACACGCAGACAATACATCGGAATATAAGTCAGGAGGGGATATGGCGAGGAGGACTTCGGTTGATGGACATTCAGACTCCTCTCAAGATGTCTATAATGTCCCCACTATTTCTTTCCCACAAGAACATCATCGCCATATCAATGTCAATACTGCAAAGAACCCGTCAGTGCATCGTGATTCGGGTCCATGGCATTTTGCGAAGACTGTGTTGACATCTTGCCCGATCTCCGATACACTCGCCATTCTTATTGTTCTTCTCCAGGTCCCGCCCGCTTTCTTGACGATCATCCAGTTACTGTTCGCCACTTTGACATTCGTCCCTCCATCTACGGCTGCTACTTCTGGAATAAGCTTTATAGATATGTTTGAAGGAACAACTGGTACACCATCATTGGCAACGATTATGGTGGTTGATGTTCTTTTTCTCCTGATTTGGGTATTCCTCTATGGTCCCCTGCAGGAATTCATTTTACAATTTGCACAATCTGTGATCGCATTGACCTTGGGAGGAGGTATCAGTGGTAAAGAGGCTGGTATGAGAAATGTGTTTCTTTGCTGTGGTTACATAGGGCTCTCGCATTATGCCTCAATTAGCAATGTTAAATCTATCGGCCTTCGAGCATTACTCTCATCTCCACGGATATTTTTGGGACCGTTCGACCTTGACGATCCCCTCGAATCGATTCCACTACACAGCGCAAACTGGAAAGACCGAATACCATCTTGGGCTCGAAATATCCTTGCGGTTCACATCCTTGCACAAGGAGTAGTACGGTATATTCGAGATTTATATGTGAGAGAAAAACGCGATCATGCAGCATCTACTTTGGGTGATCCTGAAGCAGCGAAGGGATCCGCAGATGGAGCCAATGATTCTTCTAGCACAAACTCACAAACACCAGATAACGAAGCTACAACTTCATTACATGCTAGTCATACAGCCATTACAACCAGGAAAAAGAGAAAACAGAGCGCACAAGTCCGTATACAGCAGCCCTTGTGGGCAGCTTTAGCAAGTACAAAAATTGTCATGGTTAAGGAGTATGAGACGTCACACGCCGCTGCGGAATCGGCGGGTACAAATGCAACAGATGCTAGTAACCTCGGAAATGCACCTTTTAGTACCGAACCGGATCGAATATGGATCACGAATGTTGGGTCTGATGCGGTTTTATTCAGTACCAGTTACTTCCCCAAACATAAAATTTCCGAGGCGAATCAAGAGGATGCAGAGGGATCAGTTGTAGATTCGAGAATGCCCCTCTTTGTTAGGGTCAATCAAGCTCATTGGCAACCTACGAGGATGGAGGCCAGCATTGATTCTAGCTTACCTGCTGGACAAAACACGTGTTGGGATGGAGAGATCTTTGGGCTTGCGCCTTCGAGCAGCTATCAAATCGAATTTTTCAGTGCCTTCAACAGCAAAGTCATTTTTTGTACCAGCGTCAAAACACTTAACACTCCTTCGGATACTACAGCTACCGCCTCACTTTCACCTCTTCCTTCTCAAATCTCAGGACGTCCGGGATCACCAAGTACCACTATTAAACAATCCATTATTGCATCGGAGACCAAACTCGTCGAAGAACGCAGCCGCCAGAAACGCGAACGCAAAGACCAACGTACAAAACTCAGTACACTTCGTAAAGATATTGAGAAGCTCACTAGTATCATCACCTCATCAGGTGGTAATGATGACCGCCAACGTCAAAAGATTCAACAAATCAATCTTCACATCAAACAAGCAGATGATGCCATCGCTTCCATCCAAGCTGAGATTGATGTCGCCGATCGCTTACCCTCCGCCTCAAGAGATTCCGATTACATTTCTGCAAAGCAAAGGTATCGAATACAGAAAGATCTTTATGAGAAATCCAAGTCCGACTTCAACACCAAGAAGAAGGAGAACGAAAAGCCAATCGCAGCTTTGAGCGCTGAACTTCTCAACAGGGAACGTCAATCCGAAAAACTGGAAGCCCGATCCATCAAACTCACCCATCAAACAGATGATCTTCGCGAAGCTAACACCAAAGGATTGAATGAAGTTCAACGCAAGGAAAAGCAGCGGATGGATAAAGATGAGGAAAGGAAAGTGGTCGAAACGGTTTGGGCTGAGCATAATGTGAACGCGCAACTCAATTCTCAACAAATTACCGACGCCCTCAGTACTCTTTACCCATGCATCGAACAAATGAGCCTCGCATTACAGCAGCAACAACATCAACAAGAAAGAAATCAAGCATACGCCAATGCTAGCCCCTGGACAACCGCCGGTGAAAGCTCAATGTCTGGGTTTCCCGCATACGCTCCAATTTCAAATATGCAAGCTATGCCTCCAATTGGCAGTTCAATGTCAATGTCACAAACCACAAGACCAAGAGGTAGAAGCTCAAGCATGTTAAGTAATGAGAGTGGTTTTACCCAAGGTCCCGACTCCGATGAAGAACATACCCTATTCTATGGTCCTCATCTTCAATCTCAATCCCAACCTCATTCTCATTCACAATCTCAATCTCATTCACAATCTCAATCTCATTCACAATCTCATTCACAATCTCATTCTCAATCCCAATATTCTCCTTACAACCCCAATCAATCACCAAGTCCCTTTGCTCCATTTCGCAATACAAATTCATCTCAATTCCAACAAAACGAATCATTAGGCTGGCCTCCTGCTCGTAAGGGCTCTGGATCAGGCGATGGATCGGGTTCAAGAAGTGGAAGTTCGAGGGGTAGTATTGGGGATCCGAAAAGTCCGGCTCAAGGGCATGCTCAGTTACCGCTGCCGATTGGGGCCGGGTCAGGGTTTGGGAGTGGAAATCTGAGGGGTTTGAGAAGTTGTTGGGATAATTGATTTGTGGGGTTGGGTTTGCTGTGTGCTGGCTGTACTGGCTGTGATTAACGGTCTTTGAGCTTGAGGGATGATGGAACTGGTTTGATGCGATGTCGATGTCGATGTCGATGATGTTGGGGAAGTGGTCATGAGATGAAGTCAAAAGTTGATGTGATGAGGTTAGGGTAGTTAGTAAGTAGTGCCTAGGCTGAGGCTGACCGTTATAGATGCGGTATTGGTATGGCTTAGCATAGCCTAGCAGTAAAATGAAGCTTGCGAGTTCTTTTCTCTCTATTTTCATCTACCTTTTGCGTGCTTGTATTGTATTGTGATGTGATGTGAGACTGAAAAGACTTTATTCTATCAACTAATTGACTACATCGACTCTTATACAATCAATGCTCAATGTTGACGATACAACAGATAGAAAGTCTCAATTGCCGCTGAACCCAATATATCCAGACCCCAATCAAAATCAAAATCACAAACGTAGGCGCAACTCAAGAAGTGATGTTCATAACAACTGGTTTCCCACCTAACTCAATTTCGGGCTCCAGAAGCGTCGCTGCATCAAAGGTCATTTTCTCAAGAGTGTCTTTGGCAAAAATTCGTTAGCAGAACTCTCCTCTGGATAAGCAGAAGGGCGAATCTGGAGGATGGAACTCACCAATATCCGCAGGCAAAGTCACAATACCCAAAAGCTGTACTAATTAACCATCTTTAGCACTGGGGAATATTCGTGTCATCAACAGCGCCAAAGGGGCAGTATTACCATGCAACCAACAAATCCGGCGGATGGGCACAAGAAGTCAGACCAGTTGTCAATGCTCTATCCTCCATGGGTCTCGTCCTCGTCTACAGAATTGGCTCTGTATCCTCTCAATCGGCTTTAGACAAAGTCTTGCGAGCTGTACCAGCAGATGGCCTGCCGTCTATGCGTTCCGGTGAAGGTTTCTGTTGCCGCAATTGGATGAAGGATGCCCTTGTGGCGCTTCAAGATAATGGTGGAAGGTTAAAGAGAGAAGAGAGGAGGGCCTTACAAATGTTCCACGAATACCTCGGGTATGGAGATTCATGTAAACAGTGTTGCTCTGGATTGATGATGCCATTTTTGAATAAATATTATGTATTCGAAATCGAAAGCAAAAATGTGAGAATATCACACGAATTGAAATGGTAGAGGATGTACAAGAAGTAGATATATGAAGAGGAAAATATAAGAGGAAGGTGTAGGTGAAAGCGAAGGGAAAGAAGTGGCAGACAGAGGTTACCAGTGTGAAAGCTAACGGATTGGAATAACTTTCAAGCGCGAACGAGATGCATCAAGCTGAAAATTGGTTGGTCAACAAGCAAGGAGTCCTGCCTATTTTATAAAAAGAAAAAAGAAAAACGAAAAATGGTTTTATAACAAACATTTGAAAGGCACAAAGCTGAGAACTGACTGGTCAATTTTATCAGGCAAAGTGCCAAGAGAGCGCCAATTCAAAAAGAACCAATACCAACAAATATGATTAAGATTCACCAACCATCAACCAATTACTTGTGCCACCAGAAAGTATACAAATCAGTTGATTGAATAAGTTGAAGTGTCTTATTAGTATCTTGTATAATAATCTGCCAAGAGTGGTTCTGCCTTGTTGGTATATGAATAAGTAGAATACCTAATATATAAGGCAAAATATTTTATCGCTAGAGAAAGCTTCGGATTCTTAGGAAGGAGCTTTCTTAGTTTCTGTTGGATCGTTGCTTTGCCAACCGTCCATTTGTCTGCGCTAAGTCCTGAACGGGACATACATACTGACCACTACAGTATTAGCGAAGACAACTTTGACCAAAGCATCTTTAACTATAAACTCAATTCAAATTCAACTCAACTCAGTTCAACTCAATTCAACAATTCCATCATCCCACATTCAATTTTACATCGCTTTGTCTTGTTTTGTAGCTCTGAGAGCTATGAAAAGCGAAAAATATCGTGCTCTAATAATTGCTCGAAATGCGAAACTTGTACACCCTGGCCTCCAATTAATTGAGGCATTCCTCGACGACGCCATAGATGGCGACCAGGCTGCAAGATACCTACTGCAAACATACACCGACGACCGGGGCGATGTAGACTTTACACGATTTCTTAAAGACTTGAAAGACCTGGTGAGATTTTGTAAGTTTAATCCCCGAAATCAAATGAGCACATTACTAAATGATACCAAGTCTATGTGGAACCTCCTCACTCAAAAATCCTGAGTTGGGCTTCGAAGAAAACAGTTGCGCAACGAGACGGATACCAGTGTTGCCTGGCCGGAGTGCGATGTCGGTTCTGGGGCATTTGGAATGTGTTTCCCATAATTCCTGACGGCATTTCGTATACGAGAAGTACAGCACCCCTGACAATATATTCCTGGAAATTTATTGATTTATTGTAGAAAAGGCTTTGCGATATGCTTGGTGCATTTACCACATCTTTCCACCAAAATCTACTCAAAGACAAAACTCTAAAGAGTCAGACTCGGAATTTTTGGACTTTGAGCAAGGATGCGGCGAGACCCCTTTCCAGAGGAGCGATCAGACTCGAGAAGCTGGAAGGGACAAAGGTCTAGACGTCTCTCCCTCCTCGGTATTATCCCCGCTGACTCTGCGCAGTACAATATCTTGTCCAACAACATTGGCAAAGCTGGGGTAATTTTGACATTGAATCGAGACTCTCGGGAGTGCCAGGGATCCCACCCCGCGATGAGCTGTCCGTTCTCCAACGATACTACTTGACACAAGGAATGATTCCTAAGTAGTCCGCGTACGACAGAATGACTCGTAATTGTTTTGGTGAAATCCACACGACTGGCAAATACCTATCGAAAGACCTGCCTACGGTAATTTGGCATATCGATTCTAAGCCATGGTGTAAACTAACTCACGGAGCTCGAGAGTATGAAGCCAAGGACCCAAGGAACCAAAGAACCTACTTTGGCCACCGAATCGCCAATGATAGACCCGAACATATCAAACGTCGGGATTCAGTTACTTAAGTAGCAAGATAAAGCCAATACCCACCCAAAACACCAAGGATTAGACGTGGCTCACCCTACTCATGTGACTCGAAGGGTCATATCATATTAGCTCTAGCTTCTGGTGAAGAAGAACAACAGCCTCTTCGTAAATCCCGGCTATCCTAGCATCGGCAATGGCTTGTTCTCATGATTTTGGGGGCATAGTAAGTGGGAAATTGAAAGTTGGACGAATGGCGACGACTAAGCTCGAAAGTCTCAATCAGAATATAAAGACTGACTAATGAGTGGTTCTTGTGGAATCAGGAGAAATGGGATTCAACTCTTCTGGTGTACTACTAATCTATGCAATAAAGTAGCTCTTCAGAGGAGACTAAGCCTCGAAAGGTCAAACCAGAAGGAAAAGAGACAAGTGCAAGAGAGAACTGAAATTTGTAGCTGTCGTCCGACATGTGACATCTTTGAAGGATCTCTCTCCTCTCCACCATGATAACATTTCGAATTTACAGTCAGTTATCAGAATCACTATTCCTCTCGGCATCGCCATCGCTTATCCTCAATATCAACACTCCCAACTCCCACCCCCCTTCGTTCGCATCCTTCCTCTGGAAAGACGACCATCTCATCTCAACAACACTATTCCTCAAGTTTGATCCTTCTCTTAACGAAATATTGCAGAACCATCTCTCCTTTACCGTGGTTAATATCCACGCTGATATCAGCCTTCAATCCTCAAGTTCGATTCTTCTCTTAACAAAATATTGCAGAACCATCTCTCCTTTGGTCATGTTTGATATCTACACTGATATCAGCCTTCAATCCGAGTGCCCGCGGACATCGATTCGCATGTTCTTCTTGGTGTATGAAGTACCGATCGAACCGTATTCCCTCCTTATGACTAGTAAGGACAATTTCAGTTAATGGAGAGGTAGAAGACATTTCATCATTGTGAAATGATATCCGCGTGAACATCGGGTATTAGTCAGTTATTTGTAAGAGTGAAATAATCAAGGATACCCGGTTGTCCTTATAGAAATTCCGGGTTTCATAACTATCGAACTGTGTTCCCTTCAAAATGATGATGGTAACTTTCTCTAGCTATATGGAAATGATTGGCCTATCATAGCCAATCACCCAAAGGAAAGCTAAGAGACGAGAGGCTAGGCTTAGTAAAGCCTAGGACTGTCCAATAGAAAGAATGGCCTAGAAAGGCCGACACGTCTTTTTCGTCCTCCTCCCGGCATGGATGATTTCTGGAAGCCCAGCATCCTCATCGTTTTATCTGACGTGCAGAATTAGTCCTTCCATTTGTGATCAAGATTATCCCATTGATTCGCATCCTTCGGGTTGATGTTGCAAACTGGATTTCGGCTTCTGGAAGTCTAGCCCCTTCCGCGTCCGGGACTGACATGGAGCTCTGCGTTTGGATGCTGCAAGTTGGATCCTTCGTGCTTCCCTTCATCCTTCTAGCTCTTTTCCCCCTGGATTGGAAGGGGTGTTCTTTGCAACTGTGAAAAGGGTATTTTGCTAGAGAGAAAAAAGTTAGTTTTTATAATGCAAATAATTTTTATCAGAACCAAAATGAAATACAAAACACTTACAGTTTCCTTCAAAAGTACAATCACTTAACAAAAGATAATCCTTATAGAAGAAGTGCCCATCCTTTTCCAACCCTTTTTGACTATCAAGAATAGTTTTGACAATCTCATAAGATTCCTTTATTGTGAATCCTTCTTTCCTAATTGATCCAGCGAAACGAGCTTCCTGCTGGTGATCGTTGGATTGCTGAGCGTGATCCATGTTCTCTCCCGTATTCTTGGGGCAGAGAAGTTCGCCTGTCTGGTGCTCACTATCCTGGCACTGGACATCTTTGGTATTTTTCTCAACTTATGCGATTTTGGTGTCCCCTGAAATTCGATTCCGAGGTCTGACCCATCCTGATTCTCTTGGGCTTTCTCCGGCGATTCTTTGGTAAGCTTGTTTGATCTGCTAAGAGGCGGATGTCATGCAGTGCGATACGAGACACCAGCCTACCATCAGTCGCGACTTACGTGGGCATCTTTGGGACCTTGCTTGCTGCCAGAAAGGTCTTTCTAGTTGGCCATAGACGTGCCGGTATCTAACAAGGCTTGCGAATGAGCCACAGATCAAGCGTGCTCCGATCTTTGTGGCTGGCTCGCGTGGGTCATATCGAATACCGCTCTTTTTTTGTTACTGCAAAGTGGCTCGGCAGACTTTTCCCCTGAACGGAGTGTGAGTTTCTCCAGCACATATAGGCGGCCAATCGTATTGATATCTCAAAAGCCTTTCCCGCTTTGATAAAGATCGGGAATGATGTGATGAATTAATGCCGACTCCTGAACAACCGTCTTCATCAATGCCTGCAACCCGCAGCGTCGTCAGTGTTGTTGATACTATTTGTGTATATTTCTAGGTGCCAGCCTTAGTGCAACTCTTGACATAATTCTCCGAGATGATCCGATATATCGTGACAGGCAATTGTGTACCAGAGTGTAGCCAGTCCAACATGTGAGGCCATAACCTTGGCAGTTGTGTTGGACCCGGTTTCCGATTCTGGTAAATGAGTTCTTACGTTGTGTGAAACCCATACCAATCTCCACTCTGTGGCCCAATCATCTCGAATGAATATAACCAGATCTTTCCGCGGGCCAATGTATTGATATAGGCTCTGTCGTACAGAGATACCAAAGGGAATTGAACCATCGTATACTCAAGCATAGAGGGTGCAGTGCCATGAACTGTTCTTGGCCCCGATGTGAAACAACAGAGAACTCAGGGCTAAACTCCATTGCTTCCACAATTGGCACGAGTTCATTCTCTCTTGCAGCAGAAACCCAGCTCTGAGGAAAGTCCCGTCGTACTGGGATGGGAGAAAGTTGGCTGCTCTTGATGCTCGACACCTCCCGGTGTAGTTCCGATCTCTCTCATGACTTTCAACAAGGATCTCGGGTCCTTGAAAAACTGTCCAAGGTAGAGGACCGAATCCTTAAAGTATTTCAATACCCCATTGATTCTCGCATAAGCCTCAACCTGTATGATCGAGGGTGTAGCGCATAATCGGTGATCATAAGCATGATGGGGATACTTAGCTCCAGCAGCATGGTTATCAATCACAATAGCATCCGCAGATCCATTCCCTGTCACGACGCGCATATCATGTGCAGTTACGTAGCAGATACTTCAGTTCCTTGGAACCGTGAAGTTGGTTTGATATAAACAAGTATATCTAGGGGAATATGCCATCGGGAAGCCCAACTCCAACAATATGACCACGAGCATGCCATCGGGACGGGAGATGGATCGACCGAAAGCATGTCTTGTGTGTAGTCAAAGGTACTTCCAGAATTTGTTTGACACATGTTGGTGGTGGACTGAGGAGGCACTGATTCTGCTATATTGCAGTCCATGTCAATTGAGCCTGAATAGGAAAAATTAGTCTCTGACACCCAATTATAGAGTGATAGACAATAGTGAAGGTCCTACCTCTTGGTACAAACCCACTGCATTTCTCGCATATGTCGCAGTGTGACAGGTTGTCCCAATTACAGATAAAACAGCGCATGTTGTGTGTGGATTGGATGTTGACGAATAGTCGATGCGAGAATCCGTGTAATGTGAGCTTATCAGAGGTTAGCAGTGATGAAAAGGAGGAGCGTAGAGAGGGGGTGGAAGGGAAGAAAAAGTACCTGGATTATTGCTTTGAAAGCAGCAATGTTCCATCCCCAAGTATCACGAAAGAATCAACAGCTTCCACGAGGCGCCTGCAATTTCAATCTGCCAAATGGGAATCTATGATTCCCCTCATGCATTCCCCTTTGGCGTTGTAGCTTGGCCAAGCTCTCGTCGTCTAGTCTTCCAACAATGAGCTGTAAGGGTGGATTTCGGGAAACCCCCAGCACAGAAGATGCGACGGTCGGGTAGTACGGTGCTGTACGCTCCCAAAGTCGGATTGAACACAATCCTGCAAGAACTCTTCCTCCTGTTTCTCCTTCGCCGATGATGATACAGATTCATAAATACAATTCTGAAAATCGCATTTGAATGGTTTTTCTCGATCTGGATTATGAATATTCATCATTCACTTCTCCCATAGATGAGGGTCTGGATGGAAGTGAATGGAATGTGGAACTAGCTCAAAGGGTAATAGCCTTTGAGGCTTTATCCTTTCGAAGCTAGTCTCTTTGATAAGCTATTCCCTCCATGGAATAGGGATATATCTAAAGAGTTGAATCCCATCATTCTTCTTGCCCCTAAGAGTTCAATGCACTTATTAGTCGGCTTTAGAGGAGCCATTCCATAAGTACTTACAAGGGTTTGGTGATATCTGGATGAGCCAATGGAAATCCAGAACCTTGAGCGGTGCATAGCAAAAGCCGACGGCATCTTAGAAAGTCGGATGGGAGGACAGACCGTGGTAGGTATGTTGATATGAGGTTGTGTGAGATCAAAAGAAGTCACTGTATTGAGGAGAGTAGGTGCCGACGTCGTTCTCCGAAAGCCAAGAATTCCATGGGTGGATGTTGCTCGAAATTCGCGAGAGTTTGTGCTCTGTCTAACTCTGGGTCGTTTTCAAACATGGATGGATGTTGCTCGCCTTTGTGATACTAACATGTTTGAGTAGCTCGCCATGCCAAGAGGGAAAAAGGGTTGTCAAACGGATCCACGCCCCATCCCAGCCCCATTATGGTCAAGTCTGACTGTGTCAACCACACTCTCTTATCCTTGCATTCCCTGAGGCATGTATCATTCGGTACTCACGAATTCATTTGAAATGGACACTCCTGAAGGCAAACCTGAAGCTTCCGTACCTTCGGTAACAGATGCAAAGTGCTTGGGTATTCGACTGCCCGCGGACCAAGACAAGGTCTGAAACCAAACATCTTAATGATCCTATCGGGGGTGCTAAATCATCCTTCCAGTATTACCCCAGCCCATCGCCTGTCTTAGCATCCTTTGTATCCGTGTTGAATACCGAATCGTGAAAGGATAACGCATGAGGTAGGACTGCACGCCAGTCGTAATGCATGGCATATTCTCTCGCCATTTCTGGAAATGGCCCCTTGTGCGAAGCTTAAAAAGTTCGTGAAGTGGCGTGGGGCGAAATGATTTGGATCCCTGGGGATAAACAAGGGCTCATCAGGGTCGTGATGACGGTACATGAGTTATACGAACTGAGGGCAGTTTGGGCCACCCTTGGCCCGACGACAGGTCCACTCTGAGAAAGAACAGTCGCTCATCGACAGAGAGTTGATGATATGCCGGTTTATCGGGTGGTGGTTGAGAGCAAGAGGCTCTTCTGCCACGTTCGGCGAGAGTAGAGTGGAGATTGATTGAAAAGAATTGTCACCAAGCAAAGCGTGTTGCTTGCTTCTCTCGCTGATCACGTCGAGCTCTCGTAGACCTCTAAGATCGTGATGCTACTCCACATGATACAAAAACAAAAAGAAAGAACGTCGCCATGACATTGAATCCCAGTGAGGTAGTCCAAGGAACAAAGCTGTCACAACGACGAATAATGGTTAAAATTGGCGATATATAGCGAAACCACTCTACAAAAGAATAGGAATGAGTGAGGATGAGAAAAAAGTAAAAAAATATGCAAACCGTGGCGAAACAGACGTATATCTATTTATCTAGTACCTCCAGAGTACTTTGTGAAGACAAAAAACACCGAACATCCTTTGGAGCACTGATCTCTGTTGACTGCTTCACTAATTCGTTTGCAAACATCGTCACCTTACCGCCCAACCGGGACAACACAGAATTCGATACACACCGTGATATACGCATAATTTTCAATGGGCCGATACTTCTGTATCGATGGAAAGGTACTTTTCCGAACTTTGTGTGCATAAGATGTTTCAAACATAAGGACACTTCCGGACAGGTCCGCGTACATACAAACGGAAATTAAATTGGCAACCAAAAATTCCCTCATGGTATCATCAATCTATTCGCCATCTAGCTAGGTATAGTACACACACAAGTTTTACAGAATTAATCTCCCAGGCTCCTTTTCCAGGACAAGCTTAAATCTTTGCATGAAAATTGACGCTGCCTCCATGTCAGTTTCCGGGACGTTTACGGAAAAGTCATCTTCTGAAACTGGCTCTGATTTTGGAACCGAGCGTCTAATCGGTGCCTTTTTTGTTACGCCTGTCAAGAGATCATAGACATCGACACTGTTATTTTGCTTTGAAATTTGCCAAGCCTCAACATTTTGGCGTGTTGCGACACGGCTCTGCGGTAGAAAGTTTCCTCTAACACCATTCACTGTATCAACTTTGTCGAGTCCGAGAACAGAGTCGAATAATTCATCGGATGAGGGTTTGTAATTCTTTGGGCGGGGGAGGTCATCATTCGCGACATCTGCAGCACGCTCGATGAATGTTGAGAGAGGTATGAATACACCAAGTGTAGATTGTATCCTCTGTTGAACTTCCACGGCTGCTTTCATGGAGATTGTGTGGGCGATACGGTGGAATGTGATAGGTTTTGGTTCGGGTGCATCCTTCTTGGCGGCTTTGATTGCTTTGGGAGGAGCAAGTTTGATATTGCTGAGGTCAAGGTGGGAGAGCTTTGCAATTTTTTGCGAAAGTTCAGTAGGATATGAGGAAGATATTGAGCCCAAATATGCTAGAACATCTCCTTTCAATAATCGATTGTTTGGCCCACTAGGCGTCATCTTGTCAATATCAGATGCGTCCAATCCACGTTCGTGAATCAAATGTTCGACTGAAGGAAGTAGAGGATATGTTTGTTTCTTTGCCTTTCCAGACGTCCCTACGGAAGGCTTCGAGGTAGGAGGAGCTTCGACTTGTGATTCCGAGGACTTTGCGGGGTCTGGCTTCGAGGCCTCTTCTTTGGGTGATGGAGGGGCAGCACTCTCTTCAGCCGGTATTTCCAATGTACTCAAATCGTCTCCGGATTCAGCAAGAACTCCAATCCTTGTGCCAATTTTGATACCCTTGCTACCATCTTTGACTATAATCTTTGCCATAATACCATCATCCTGAGCTTCCACGTCCATTGAAGCCTTATCCGTTTCGATTTCGAGTAAGACATCACCAGCCACAAATGAGTCGCCTTCCTTAACATTCCATTTTGCGATATTTCCCTCAGTCATCGTAGGAGAAAGAGCCGGCATTGTGAAGTTCTGGGCAGCTAGACATGCCGTGGAAGTCCTGAATCCTATCCTCATCAAATATTAATCTTCCATCCTCGAACCAAAATTTCTCGGAAGTAGATACTGACCTCTGGCAGTGGCATCTTGTCGCAATCCCCTAGTAGTAAGTCTAGCAGATACACGACAAGCTGTCGCGAAAGATGCCATACTGACTTTTCGAAGGTATAAAACTCAATTGAGAGTTGGTGAAGAGATAGGTAAGGTTGAAGATATTCTTTAGATGTTGAGATTAACAAATGGGACATTTCGGGAGAGTACGCGCTAGGTCAATTGACAGGGGTATTGTATTAATAATTTCGCCGAACCTCCGATCATTAATTCTTCCCCCGTCCCGAATAACCTATGAAGAAGGCTTTGGGTCCAGGTGAAATTCGTTCCTCAAGGTATGGTATATTTTACTAGAATTCTTTTACTTGGGTTTAAGTTATAACAAGTATAATAAGTCATTGCTAATACTTCTCAGATGTCCATATATTCAAGAGGATGTATTAAACTACATTCCGCAACCGTGAATTCTTCCCGAACCTTCCTCTTCACAGCTCACAAAGCTCCAAAATCATGTCCAAACCATCGATTCTTCACCTCAACATCCTTATGTCGCTCACCAGCCCAAATGCCAATGGGGAAGCCAAAAGTAAAATCAAAATCAGTTGCTCAACCCAAACCTAAACCAAAGATCGCAACTCAATCCCAATCTCTCACACTAGCCACCACAAAAGCACCACAGCGCTCTCCATCACTCCTTCAGTATCACACATATGCCGATATCTTGGCCGCAAAACCCCATACCACAATTCTTTACCAAGCGCCCTCACATACCGGATTCATAGTACTTTCTTACTCAGCTGCAGCCTTTCTTTTTGGCTTTGCCGGTCTCACTTGTATGTTTTCCTAATTGACCTGGCCTGTCCTCCTCGAGGACTTTTCGCTAACGCTCTTCTCCCCCTGCCAGTCTGGAACAGCTACATCCACAGCCCTCCCGATATTGCCCCATGGGTTCCCGTTGCTTTCGGCGGCATGTCATTCCTCCTCGCTTGTTGTGGCGGCTTCGTCTTACTCTCCCCCTCCGGCCTTATAAAATCTATAACCGCCGTCCCCGCGAAACTATGCGCTCACCCTCCAAAAGTCACTGCACCCCTATACGTGCAAGTTGCTCTCAAAAAGATTGTTCCTATTCCATACATGCCTGCGCGCATTCTAACTCTACTGCCCTCCTCCCTCCATCTTGAAAGCCACCTATATTATTCCCAAACTCCCGCCGAAGAGCGAGAGTTAAATAAAATAATTGGAGAGAAGAAAAGGGGAATTGGCCGAATATGATAGAACGCACATTATTGGCAGAGGCACACGGAAAGTTTCAATGGGCATTTTTGAGTTGGTAAGGTCAGTTGGAAGGTGTTGGACAAGGGATGGTTTTGTAACAGTGAGAATTACGGAGAGAGGATCGGGTAAAGTCTTGAAGTTAGATGGGGAAGCTGGGTGGGCGCAGGATGGAGGAAGAGCCTTGGAGAAGATCATAAAAGTTCAAAAGCCTTAAAGTGGGAAATTTTGCATCTACCGGTATGTGGTGTTAGGGAGGGAATAACCGAGAAATCGGTTCGTCATTTTAGGGGGTTAGGATGAATAGATGTGAAAACATTTGTACAATACAAAAGCATCACCAATGCATCAAATTTACAGCACTACTCGAGTACGTCTTGATTCACCACGCAGCCATTATCTGAATCAAAGCTTGATGCTCATATCAACATCCAATAGTAGTGATCTAAAGATTTAATATTGTCACTCTTGAGATAAAACATTCATCATCTCAGCGGAGATTCGAGCAAAGGTAGTGAGTACAGCAGTTATATGAATAGATATTCAATCATTCTGAGGTTTCCTCGTCTCAAAGAGACTCTGACAATAAACTAGCATGAGCATCTGTACAGGGAGGGGACTGATCTAATTGGATATGTGATCTTCAGATCCTCCGGAGGTACAGTAGTTTTTCTGATCCGAAGCTGAAGATCATATATCTAATTAGATCAGAATCCTATCGGCATGATTCGAAGTTTTGTTTGTTTTTTCTTTAATTGGTAGTATAGTATACTCGTAGCTTTCCGAAAAATGAGTATATCTATTAATACGAGTATAATTATTATATACTATTAATATCCTATCTATTCTTATTACTCTTTTTACTCTTTTTATAATCCTTACATACTCGTAGACCCATCTAATCTAAGAGATTCATTCGCCTATTTCCAGAATTCAAAACATCTGCTCGTGTATAAAAATCAAACTTCTTTATATATATATTAAACTCTTGAATCTTGAAAATGTATATATGCATCTAGTGTTATACAAAGAACTCCGCGTCGACTTCTATATCCAAACCCAAACCCGATCCGAAAGATTTCACTATCTACGAGTATAAATCTTGATTGTCCATATTCGTATTCTACTCGACCCATCCGATTCCGAACTAGTTATCCGTACAGTCTCTGTTTCTTCTCCTATGACATGTCTTTAAAAAATTATCACATTGAAGATGTATAATCGTTATACTCATGCATATACTCGAGTACATATCAATTAATAGTACTAGTACTAGTACTAGTACTCATACTAATACAAAACCTCAAAAACAAACCCAGAAACTTAAAAACCGAATCTCCGAATCTACTCGTAGTCTGTAGATGACTACTCGAATATTTCATACAGTAATTTAATCTCCACTGACATGTAAAACTCAATACTCGAGTACATCTCGTAGATTAGAAATCCAAATTCAAATCTAATACCGGTAATTATACAACTAATATTCAAATATAGTATTCTCCAAACCAATCATTATCTATCATCCTCTGGATACCAACCTTACTTAATTCGCTATGAGAAAGAAGATCATTTTTAAGATTTAGCAATGAGTAATTATAAACAATATTAGAAATAAGTAAGTCGATTATAAAACTTAAAAGTAGCTCTTTTGAAAAATTGCTATATTTAATCTCTAACTCTAACTCAAACTCCAACTCTCCCCTCCGCCCCGCCCTCTTTCTCCAAACCCCCCCTAATCTAATCTAATCTAATCTAATCTAATATCATCTTTCCCCTTCAAAATTCAAAATTCAAATTTCAAATTTCAAATTTCAAAAATTCAAAATCTTAAATTCAAAATATCCCCCCTCTTTCTTCTGCTAGTAAACTAATCAATCCTTCAATTTCCCATTTTTGGCGTTGTTTATACGAGTAGATATTTATGTACTCTACATAGATATGCATATTCATTTTTATATTCCCATCCTCATCATGATATCCTTCCTATACCCATTACTCGAGTATAATAACTTCACCTTCACCTTCACCTTCAACTTCGGCTTCGTATTTGTACATCTCTTTCTCTCTTCCTCCTTCCCTTTCACACCTTCATTACAATATAATACAATAAAATCCCATCACCATCTCACCCCAAGTTCCAAGTTCCAAGCTCCAACCCCTTTAATACCGAGATCAAGACCAAGACCCTCATCAACTCACATCAACTCAAATCAATATATCATATCACCATACAAATCAATACTCATATTTCCCCCTATCCTATCCTATGTTTCCCCCTCTCTCCTTCCTTCCCTCTCTCCATCTCTCCCTCTCCCTCTCCATCTCACCCTCTCTCCCTCTCCTCCCTCCCTCCCTCCCCTATAACCTTCCCACCACACATTAACTTATCTTGCCTTGCCTCAACCATTCCAATCCACCTCCACATCCACCTCCACCTCCACCTACATTCCAGCTCCAGCTCCAGCTCTAGCATTTACTTACTGAAGACCAGTTTCCACCGTCGAGACATCTATAAATATATAAATATGTAAATGTATCATCCATCACCCAAGTTATATTTTATTCTCCTCTTGAAACTCGCTTACATGTTCCTTCGCTTCATACCTCATACCTCATACCTCATACCTTATACCTTATACCTCATACCTCAAACATCATACCTCACTCACCTCACCTCACCTCACAATATCACCAATCCAAATCCACTGCAGAAAGAAATAGACAAAAATCATCATCATCACAAGAACAGAACAAAGTTTCAATATCATTAATCCATCTCTATTCACTACACCACACCCCTACCATGCCATCCCTCATCTGTCTTTCTTCTTTCTTCTTTCTTTCTCTGTTCTACTGCCCCTCCCCCCCTCCCCCTCTCCCCAAACGAAAAAACTTGAATCGACCACTCCCACTATCCCCTTTTTAACATATCTCATTGACATGAACCTCCAGCCCCACAGTCCTCCCATCCTTAGCACATCCACTATACTATGCGTGTAAATGCCCAGCCCCCAGGTATCAGGCCCGATCAAATCAAATCAAATCAGACCACCAGACCAATAATTACTTGATGACTTAAAACGCCCCAGCCCATTCATCCATCTCAAACATCAACCCATGGGTAGGCGAAATGAAAAGTATTCCCCAACCATAGAACTCAATCCTTAAAAAAACCCATTATGTTACAGACATGACATCCCCTTCTCTCTTTCTGAGTCGAAGTTCTTCTCTTCTCATCACTCTGTTCTTCTCCTAATGTCTCTCTCAAGATCTAGTAACATATTCCATTCATTCATTCTCGAAGAAGTCGAAAAAGATCTCTGTTCCAATCCATCATTGATTCGTTCATAGAGAGAAATATAAAAAAGCAAAATAACCTCCAACCTATACGCTATGCATGCCATGATGATAAAAATCCGAAGCGGAAAAAATAAGTATAAAAAGCCCTTCCAAACAGGAATTTTCCTTTGAATCGAGAGTAGAGTCGTCATGCGATGATACAAATCAATTTTCTCAAAAGAATAGATGAAGAAGAATGGGGGTGGGTATCAAAATAAACAAGTTCCTCTTCTCTCATCTCCTAAACCAACCACCATCGATATCGGCAATGATTTCTTCATCCACAGGGATCACGCTCCGTCTCCCAACGCTTGACCTTTTCCCACTTTAAAGTCGAGCCATTTCAGTTTTGTGTGTGTAAAGGAAATTCGCCTTTTATGTATGCACTTTAACCCAGTGTGCGACCGCTATGTATTATTTGTTGGCTACTTGCCCTGAGTGTCGGACTTGGTCTCATTTTAACCGTCGAATCGTATTCGGGGGTTTGATACCCCGTAGGTTGATTTTTTTGTTGGGCTTCCCAACCTTCCTCGCTTAACACGCTCAACCATCCTTGCCCGACATCATTTCTAAGTGCTTCAATCTTTTTCCGATATAGCTCACCGCTCATATTCCAATCGGGAGTATCTGGGGTCTTCACCGGCTGTGGTTTGATTGCTGTTTCGTAGGGTGCCGTTTCCATTGGTGGCATTGGGGATAAACGAGGTAATATAGATGTATCGATGCGTGGAACATCGGGTTGTCTTTGGGCCTGCCGAGGTTCTGAAGGAATATATGTAGGAACTGTTCTAGGGGAGAAATCAGGACTTAGATCGTAGCTACTATCTGATACTGTTCTTGGCATAGGTGGTGGTGCTTCTTCTGGCATAACATTCTGAGCCAGTACTTGCTTGCTCGGTGATGTTTCCGAAGTCGATAGGTCTACGATTCGTCGCTTTGGAGTTCTTCTCCTTCGACCTGTGGAACCAGTATTGATTTCACTAGTCGCAGCAACAGGCATGGGTCGTTCTTTTCGAAGTACTGCAGGTTCTCGTGGCGCTGCATACTCGATGATTGGTTTGTTGACTTCAATGGCGGACAATCCATAATCGGGAGGAGGTGGCTTTACAACAGGGACACCTGGTCTTTCTGCAACACGTTCGACCAAATGCCGCCTTTCCGCGTAACCTGGTCCATAAGCATCAATCAGGATGTCCTCGGTATATCCCGGCGTTTGTCTGAATAGGTTGAAAATTGTAATCCTGTAGTTGCTATGTGTTTTGGTAAATGGATTACCACTAATCCATATCTCTCGAATATCCGGTATTCCTGTCAACCTAGCAAGTTCTGTCGGATCAGTAATTTTATTATCGCGGAGATCAAGTCTTTCTAAAGGATACAGCCTTTCAATTCCAGCTATAGATATGAGACGATTGGACCGCAAATTGAGAGCGGATATAGCAGGTAGAGGATTTCGAGTTAGAGAATGAAGGGAGTCGATCATGTTGTTGGATAGATTCAGGGCTCGCAGTGCGGTAAGGGATGCTAAGCAATCAGGGATCTGGGCGAATAAATTCGAGGAAAGGTCAAGTGAATGGAGAGTATTAGCTAAAGGTGCAAGGCTGGACGCAGTAATAGATGTCAGGCCATTGTCTGCAATGCTAAGATGTTTCAAAAATCTCCATTTTGAAGATGGCAGAACACTCATAGACAAAAGATTTGAAGAACTGTTCCGTGGGTTATGCCAACTATCGGACAAGCTTGAATGTGAACTCCCGGATCCAGATCTCTTAACCTTGTATGAGGATCCCCGAAGATGACCGTGCGAGGAACCAGTACGGGAACTTGGTGGACGCACGGGAGAATTGCTTCTTGGTCTTTGCCCATCCTTGGTTGGAGATTTTCCGAACTCGGCTCCGTCTGAACCAGAACGTGCCAGCCCTCTTGTTCCTGTATCAATAATGCGGCTGCGATCATCCGGTGATCCAGGGGCTGAATTGGATTTTACGAGCTCGGCATGTGGCATTGTTGGGCTGCGTCTTGGACTCGATGCGGGGATGAAAGTTGAGGTTGGTGACATTTGGGCTTTGGAAGACCGCCGCCTCCTTTTATCCATGTCATCCAACACAATATTGATCAATAGATCAGCCGGATCATCAACACCTGCCCGTTTGACAGTCAATGATCTCAATTGCTCTGCTAGCTTGTCCCAACCGAAAAATTGTCGAATGTCGATATCACTAATCTCCAATGCACTAATGTTTTTAAAGGCAATCAGTGGAACAGCGGAATCGAACGGAAATTCTTCGTAGCCTTCAATCAGGCGTGCGCGACGATCCGGAGCAAGTCTAAGGCAAGGGATCTTGGTAAATGCCGAGTATAAGTACTTCAAGTCAGCTTCAATGGCAGCCTTTTGCTTCTCTGTGCGAGCCGCAGAACCTGCAGACCCAAGGCCAAAATTCGACCATAAGGAAGACATGCCAGACATTACACTTCTCACACTGGATACGGAGTGAATAGAGCCATTGTCGGAACCACGACCTTTCGGTCGTTGAGACTGACTTAGAAATGAAACGTAGTTTGCTGCTGATGTGTCTGCATGAAGATTTTCTAACCGCACATTCATTGGACCAACTGGAACTCCGAGATCTTCAAATCGGGAAAGGAGATAGAATAGATGATGGGGTGTCAACGCGAGCTTGGCAGGTTTAATATTATGGGAGGCGAAAGTAAGGTATGGGAGAGATAGAGCAGCTGCGAGAGTACTAGAAGTCGTGGAAGAAGAGGCAGATGACGGCTGGTTTGTCACTGTTGGGGAAGGGAGGGCAGACCCTCCAACAGCACCGGATACGCTGTTCGAAGAGCCATGTTTAGGAGCTTGCTGGCGTCGTAATTGCAGAGCATTCGCGAGAGCCTTTTCATGTGTACGAACAAAGTGGGCCAAGTTCTGCAGGAAGAATAATTTATCAGCATATGCCATGTTATGGCAGATCAAGTTGTGAAGAAAGTCTTGTCCAAGTACCTTTATGAAGAACTGTCCATCTTCAGTATCCATCATTAAGGATGCATGTGTTTCAATCACCACGATTCATTACAGTCGAAAGCCCTTCAATGGGAGGATAGACGCTTCAAATCAGGCTATCAGCGGGCCTTGTATTCGAAAGTAAACGTTCGTGGTATGGCAAGTGTACGACTCGAGGTGTTGGAAAAGAAATTGCTTGGGCAGTCTGCAGATTACACAACCTCGTTAGAAGGTTTTCAATTCATTTGGTATGACAACAACGTAGCAATTCGTATGTGAATGGATCGGAAAGAAGATCCCATCTGGAGCCATCTCCTAAAAAGTCATGGAGCTCTTCGCCCGTGTCTTCCACGCCCAGGAGATCAGATTCTACGATCACTACCTCTTGGGTTCGCAAAAAAGAGACTCCTGCATATGATAGGAGATATGTTTCTCGGAACGAGGATTGAAAACGGATAGGAAATTTTTGGAACGTACCTCTACAACGCTCTTATCGTGGTGCGGGACACCGAGAGCAACACAGCTCTGAGACTCTCACAAGACAGAGAAGGAAGAGACAAAAGATCGACCGAAGAAAGAGGGTGGGACTCTCCCTATGTTCTGCGACGACGATATGTGAACTGAGAAGTTCTGCCGCTTTCGAAGTATTAATCCAAGGTTCCAAAGGACCAATAGTTTATCAGACTCGAGGGCCTTCCTTCTGTATGGATTGTATGTATGCAGGCGTTATGGATATGCAAAGCGAGGTCGGTCGCTCGTTCGTCGAATTCCTTTCGTTGTACAGAAAGACTCCACTACTGTAAGACCAGGGTATATGAGATCAAATACCCACTCACAAGCATCTATTCCCTGACTTTTCTAAGGGTTCTTCCTAGCTTGCGACGCCAGATGCAATATCAGGTCGTAGCGTGCGTGCAGACAATTCATGTACTGTAGAAATTAAGATTAAGAAGAGATGGATTGAGAGGACTGAACCTCGGGAAGAAGACAAGAGAGAAGAGGAAATCTGCGAGAAAGAGTCCGTCCAGAGAGAGATAGAGAAAGAGAGGAGCGGGGAGGAGAAGCATCAAGCACCAGCACAAGAGTATTGAATTTAGTTTATTGAGTATGTTTTTCAGCATTCAGCAGGTATGCGAAAAGGAGCGGGATTGATTGTTTTGTGGGAATTTTCTATTGTTTTGGATCTGATCTGCGTAATTATTCTATGCACTTATCGAGCACAATAATACGGCGGCGGCGAGGATGTTCAGGTAGGACGGATATAATAGGTGAGAATGGTGGAAGAGTGGGAGGGAGAGTGAGCAGAAAAAAGAAGTAACAGTAGGAGTGGAAATTTGTGTAGAGTATGGAGAAGTTGATAGGTCGGATTGTTGTATATTCCAATTTCAATCGCTAAAGTCTGTGCGTAATTTAATCCTTGGGACCCTTTAAAGATTAAGAATAAATCCTATGAAACGACCTCCTAGGATTATTATTTTTTATGGGAATTAACAACTCTGACCAATTGATGGTAATTGCTGGTTGCTGGGTAAGTTGCTGGTAAGTTGCTGGTGAGTTATAAGTTGCTGGTAACTGCTAACTGGTAACTGGTAACTGGTAACTGTAGACGAAGATAAATACCCAGGTATGATGAACAGATAAGTTCTAGGGCGAAAAACCCCCAAAAGATATATACATACAGACACATCAATCTTTCTACCGGTATGTAGTATACTCTTTTTGATAGAGATGCAAGATCTACAACTAATTCCATCTACGGTAGTTTCATTACTCGTACGTCAAAGATTGCCAAGGTGCATATCAATAACATATGTGTACATCATACATCATCTCCTTCATTATCTTTCGGAATCAATCATTAACCCATCATCCCTCCCGCATCCCTTGATCTTTGATACCTTGACGTTATTTCTATGAACGAGTGGGTATCATTTTCTTACCTGCTGTCACTTTTTATTAGAACACGTTCTCATCCATCCCACTTGAAATGAAGAAGTACCGACAGAATATCTACATTCATGACGACGTCACAAAGCATATATATCGTTTCAAAAATGGATCAAAGATCTTTAAAGATTTCTAATCATGGTCATCCGGTCTTGGAATAACAGCTTGGAAATAGATTTGAATCAACTACTTATGGGGAATATCAACAAGCAAGCTGGGGCTGCTTGGGTCAAAAGCAAAAGGCAGGCAGGGCATTCTATGGAAAGATAAATTATAGTCATCCTATCAAACCAGCCGACTTTGGATTTTCATTCTTTGTCTCAAACAACCCCACCACCAGTTAATTTATTATAACCAACCCAAAGGACCCAAAGGCCCCTCCATTCCGAACTTTAACTTTCCGAATTGAATGAGAATGATGAATCCTAGTTCAGAAATGACTTGAAGAAGAAAAATAAAATGTCCCAAAACTTATTTGGGAGTGGCTAAGTACATGGATCATCACGACAAGTACAAATTAACTCTACACCAACCAATTTATCAGATTTTATCTTTTGTCTGCCCTACCAAAGAACACAGGCTTGAAGGAGGACCGGGGTAAAAGCCAAGAGCCGATATAAACGATAATATACTCCGAGTAGACATCTTCATACTCAATACCTTCTTCATCTACTATTACATCTCTAGATCTAAAAACTACCTACTGTACGAATCCATCCTTCTTCCTTCACCGCTTCACTATCTGACCATGTTGTGACTCCTTCCTAATATACATTTTTGAGTCTAATCTTCGCCACCATCTCATGCGCGTTCAAGCCGATGGATGGCACACACACTTCTTCCTTCTCCCAAGAATTAATTGCTGACCGCAGTCACATTTTTTTTATATCAAACCCGAATCCCGTTGGTGATACGGGACAAGACATACTTACCTACCGAACATACATACAGATAGATTCAGCCTCAATGACCTGTATGTGTATCATATATGAGAATGAGAATGAGAAAGGTCAGGTGAAACCATTCTACTCGAGTAATCTTTTATATATCAACATCTCCAAATATATAAAGTGTCAAGCGCGCTTATTTAAGGTAGGGTACTGACTCAGCTCCCTTGAATTAACTGATAATAATTTATCCATCATGCCATCATTATCACTTCATTATCACTTCATCACTCCATCACTCCATACAAACCAAACCGTTTAGTACTATACTACCTACTACCACCTATCTAATATACATGGGGATTCACCAATAAACAAACATACCTATATCCCCACAAAAATGATAATGAATAAATGGACAGAAAGAAGTGTATGAAACAAAACAAAACAAAACGAAACGAAACGAAATGCACATACCATGAAATGATCGGTGTGCAATTTATGCACTTGGTCTGCAGAGAAGAAGAGAGACAAGAGAACACGAGAAAAGCACTAGGAATCAAATCAGGAATGACGCTTTTCGGCATGAGGAGCCCCGCTATGTTTATTATGTTTGCTGATAATGTTTAATGTTAATGTTGATGTGGTGATAATGTGTGATAATGTGGTGATACAGTAACAGTCAGTACAGTACAGTACAGAACTTGTACGATGTTCGATGGGTTTTGGAATTTAGGCTTATGTTTTGGATGGATGGATGGGGATAGCTGGGATAGATAGATGGCTGGCTTGGCTGGCTGGGCTAGAAGAGAGCAAAAGGACAAGTCCAAAAGGCTACCCACCTACTTATATACTTACTTACTGTACATACGCGCTATACAAAAAATGTAAAGTAAGCATGGCCGCGCCTCGCGAACACCTTATTCCATCATTCCATTATTCCATGACCTACCTACTCGAGTATATTCCACAAGCCATACAGAGTACAGCATATCATAATTTATGTACAGTAGGTAGTATATGTGGGGTTTTACTTATATCCATCTGCACTTCCCAATTCCCAATCATAAGCCATTGAAGCAGGTGATTTGAGAAGTTTTGATCATTTATCATATTTTTGGAAGATGTATTGGATTGGATGATTCGGGATCGGGTTGGATGGATGGATATGGATATGGATATGGATAATTATCAATCAATCGAAACGGAAACGGAAACGAAATGAAACGAATATATCGGAGATGAATACCCGTCTTGAATGTATATATATGTATGTAGCAACCGAAAGAGAGAGGGAGGGAAGGGGGAGGGAGTGATGTTTTTGAATCTGAATCACGGATATGTCAGTTTTCTTATTGTTGTCTGTCAACTGTAACCGTTGTTGTTGTTGTTACTTGTATTATAGTTACTAGTACAAGTAGTTTTCTAGAATATAATACGATCACACTGTTTTATATTGCGAAAAGGAAATACATAACCAACCTATCCTAATCATCAATCTCAATCATTTTTTTTATTATGGGAAAAGAATAAATTCATCAATTCTTTTTTTTTTCAACTATTTGTTGTTATAGCAAGGACAGCGAGCGGTGAAGCGGATTGATGAAGCGAGTGATGAAGGAGGGGGGGGAGGGGAGGGATGGATGATAGACATGGATATGGATATGGACATAGTAAACAGAAACTCAAACCTTAAAAAAAAATCCATTAAATAGATAAGATCTTATCTCTCCGTAACCTTACCATAATCAACTTTTTTAGTTTAACAAATCTGTCTTGGTTCCAGAAAACTTAACTAGAGTATGCGAATATTATGTATTATAAGTAACCCCGCCACTAAGATCTCCAATGATAGGCTAGTAATTGCGGGCACGATGAAGAGAAGGTGGGATGAATATTGATAAAGCACTGGATTTGATGAGATAGATGGGCGGTATATGCGGTATATGCGGTAATACTACTCGAGTATTCTAACCTAGAAGATAGAAAGATAAAAAGATTCATTTAATAGTACTTATAGTACTACTACTACTACTATATATAAAGAATGTTTTATAGTATATATAATCTAGTATATTATATATCTGAATATTATAGAAAGAAAGAAGTTATTATATATATATTATATACTCGAGTAAAGAAAAGAAGTTATTAGATATAATACTATAAAGAATCTAGAAATTTAAAATCTAATTAAAGAGTATATAATATTATTATTCGAGTATAGAGAGAGAAGAGATAATAAAGTATATATACTCGAACGAGTCTTTAAAGAGATATAAATAATAATATCAAAAAAGCTATTACTAGCTTAAATATTTATATAATTTAAAATTGTTTATTTCTTAGTTATTTCTCAATTTATATATAATATCTTTTTCTGATCTGATTAAATTCAACCTAATTATTATAAATTGAAATAATAGAGCTTTTGATTTTAGAGATTTTTATTAGTATAAATTTAAAATAAAAATATTTTTATTCAATTTTCTTTTTTTTTCAAAATCTTTTGATTATAATAATATCGTTTTTGAATTTTAATTTAATTATATTTTCTTTTCTTTAATTTTATTATTCCTATAAATATTATTAAATAATATTGAAAATATTGAATTTTTGAGTAACAAATTCGCTTATTTAGCGTATATCTCTTCAAAGACGCCGCCGAGTAATTTGTCACTTGCTTCTTCACCGACTGTTTTACTACTTACTATGCATACTATTATTCTTTCTAGAACAAGCCAAATCCCCCACCACACCGGACCAGCATCAACCCCGAGTTGTAAAGATTTTCGACGAAACGCCGAATTCAAATCATGGAGGGGTTGATTTGATTTGATTTGATGGGAACGATTGGCAATGGAGATCAGATTAAATCATCAATCATTTCATGGTTCGAGTATGGTATGGTATGATTATGCCAAGAAGCTGGCTATTGGAGATCACATACCTAACCTATACCTATCGAACGAGATACTGTATCATGATGACGCTTTCGAGAAAGTTTAAAATAAAATGGTAATCAATCCGGCACTTCGATGGACTGGGTGCTGTATCTTTACTAATAATGGTAGTGGATAGGTAGGTAAGTAGATACCATATCAAACCTACCTATATTTAAATTCTTACCTCACTTCACTTCTATCTTATCAACTGAATTTTTAACTTTACTGCAGTACAAGTCGGTCACTAGATAAGATAATTACACAGAACCAACTGACTTCGATTTTTTCTCGATGTTCTGTTGAATGAATGCA